ACGTTTCTACAGCCGCATCAGAAAGTCTAATACACATGACTTTATAGAGAACCAAGCAACACTCATCCTACGATGTGGGATAATTCCCACAAAAAGTCATTAAAGCAATATCATTGAATATATATTATTATAGAAAGTAAAAGAATCACATGTGACGACGTGGCCATGTTAGTTGACAACACCGAATTTTGTGTGTATGTCTTGAGTTCGAACCCCATAGCGAACACCAAAAGATATTTTGAGTTCAAACCCCTTAGCGCACAACAAACTTTTTTTTTTTTTGAGATCGAATCCCTTAGCGCACACCCAAAAAATACAAAAAAAAATTTTGTTGTCAAAAAAATAAACAAAGGCAGAAAATACTGTTGTAAAAACATAGAAAAAATATAAAATAAAAAGCTCATCAAGATAAAGATAAATAGGATAATACAACATTTTTTTATTTTTCTTGTAAAAAAAATACAATTTGTTGTCAAAAAAATAAAAACAGGCAAAAAATACTATTGTAAAAAAATAGAAAAAATATAAAATAAAAGGTTTTTCAAGATAAAGATAAAAAATATAATACAATATTTTTTTATTTTTCTTGTAAAAAAAATACAAGGTAATATAACAAGTATTTCTTGCAAAAAAAATAAAACAAAAGGCATAAAAAAATAAAATGTACTTTGGCAGCATCATTTTTTTATTTTTCTTGTAAAAATAAAATAAAAAGTAATACAACAAGCAAAAAAAAATGTAGTACATCTTCTTCTTTTGTCAAAAAAAAAAAACAAAGATAATCAACAAGTATCATATTTTTCTTGTAAAAAAAATAAAAAATAACACAATAAGTAATTCTTGTCAAAAAAATAAAAGGTATTTCTTCATACAACCTAGGAATAAATGGTCTAATTATATTTTTTATTTTTATAACAAGATGGTCTTTAACATAAATTTAGTAATATTAATTTAAAAATAGCACTCATACAATGAGACCATTTGAAATCTCTCTCTTTCTACTAACAATCTCTTCCACTAATTTATTCTAGAGACCTAAAAAATTAAAAATAATTGGTACGCATTCTAATAATTTCTACATTGATAACCAAATCTTTTATTTCATTTATTAATTTTTGTATTATAAATCATGTAGTGTACTATTTTCCTTACAGTTGTCAATAATACATTTTAAATTAGATGATATTATAAATCTGGCTCGACTCGAGAAATGCTTGCTACCAAGCCGGTTCCACGAAAAAACCTGAACAACCCGTGTCTAGAGAGAACCGAGCGATTCCGAATAGTGAATCACTAGTCTCACAAAAAAAACCGGTATTTTATTGGGTTTACATGTGGCGTTCCACGAAAAAACCGGGAATCGCTCGTGTTCAGAGAGAACCGGGCGATTCCGAATAGTGAATCGTAAGTCTCACAAAAAAAACAAGTATTTTTTTAGGTTTACACATGGCAGCCTCACATGAGCGACACGTGGCCACTGTACGAGAGTGACACGTGGCCACACGTGGTAACTCATCTCACGTTTGCCTCCCTTACGTTTCTACAAGCATATCAAAAAGTCTAATACACATGACTTTATAGAGAACCAAGCAACACTCATCATTCGATGTGAGATAATTCTATAAAAAGTCATTAAAGCAATATCATTAAATATATATTATTATGGAAGCTAGAAGAATTGACAACACCGAATTCGGGGTGTATGTCTTGAGTTCGAACCCCATAGCGAACACCAAAACAAATTTTGAGTTCGAACCCCTTAGCGCACAACAATTTTTTTTTTTTTTTGAGTTCGAACCCCTTAGTGCATAACCAAAAAATACAAAAAAAGTTTTGTTGTCAAAAAAATAAACAAAGGCATAAAATACTGTTGTAAAAAAATATAAAAAATATAAAATAAAAGGCTTTTCAAGATAAAGATAAAAAAGATAAAACAACATTTTTTTATTTTTCTTGTAAAAAAATACAATTTGTTGTCAAAAAAATAAACAAAGGCAAAAAATATTGCTGTAAAAAAATATAAAATAAAAGACTTATCAAGATAAAGATAAAACATATAATACAACATTTTTTTATTTTTCTTGTAAAAAAAATACAAGGTAATATAACAAGAATTTCTTGCAAAAAAAATAAAACAAAAGGCATAAAAAAATAAAATATACTTTGGCAGCATCATTTTTTTTATTTTTCTTGTAAAAATAAAATAAAAAGTAATACAACAAGCAAAAAAAAATGTAGTACATCTTCTTCTTTTGTCAAAAAAAAAAAAACAAAATATAATCAATAAGTATCATATTTTTCTTGTAAACAAAAATAAAAGATAACACAATAAGTATTTCTTGTCAAAAAAATAAAAGGTATTTCTTCATACAACCTAGGAATAAATGGTCTAATTATATTTTTTATTTTTATAACAAGATGGTCTTTAACATAAATTTAGTAATATTAATTTAAAAATAGGATTCATACAATGAGACCATTTGAAATTTCTCTCTTTCTACTAACAATCTCTTCCACTAATTTATTCTAGAAACCTAAAAAATTAAAAATAATTGGTACGCATTCTAATAATTTCTACATCGATAATCAAATCTTTTATTTCATTTATTAATTTTTGTATTATAAATCATGTAGTGTACTATTTTTCTTACAGTTGTCAATAATACATTTTAAATTAGATGATATTATAAAATATTTTGGATTTGTTATTATTTATATAATAAAATAATTATAAAATATTATTGGTATATAATATTATAGTTAGTTAGTTTGTAATAATTTTGGTTTTTTTAGCGGATTAGGGTTTTCCTCCAATTCGAGATTTTAGTGGCCAAAATTTCATCGATTTAGTCAACTCTTTGTTGTAGTCCATATATGATTATATAATTAATCCATGATAATTTTATGATTTCTTTTATGTGATGTAAATTTAATGGTCAACATAAGTTCATACAGGGAAAGAGCATCTCAATATTCACAAATTGATGAAAAAAATAATGTAGTACCCTAATTTCTTATTGGATTCCTAAAAAAAAACATTTATAATGAATTTTAATAATTTTTTCGGATTTTTTTGAAGCTTTAATCTAACCGATTCAGCCGATTCCTGATCCAGATTGCCGGTTCACCTATCCGGATCAGTTTTTGAAGTGCTCGATCCGGGTCACCGATCCACTTTTTAAACCATTGGTTAAAAGAAATGCCAAAAAAAAAAAAAAAAGAAAAACCTTAAGTATTAATTGTGAACCGTTTGAACCCTTTTAAAGAGGTGTTTCAACCTCTAATATTTTCGCCAAAATTTACATTGCATCACCCAAGAACAATGGGGGCTTGTCGAGGCTTATCCAACCAACGGATTGGATTGTGGACGGTTGATCCACAGCCTTTGATTTCCGGTGATCATGGGACTACAACAATGGAGAAAAACCTCCACAGTACTTGGACATGTAGCCACGAAGGGGCATCCACGATATTCCCTTCGAAACCAAGTGGCAAATCCCTGCATCACTCTAAAACGGGGTGATATCCCCAACAAAAAATAATGCAAAACCCAAACAGAAGGCAGTCACAGAGCGAAGACTTCCCCTCTCACCATTTCCATGGCCGGAGACGAACCCCCACCTCTCTCGGACTCAGACCCACACCAACATCAAACCCTAAAACCACCATCGCCATTAAACCAGAAAATATCGGCTCAAAAAAGAGGTGAAGATGCAGCAAATGAAGCCATGGATAAAGGAGGAGGTTCATCAGAGTCGGATTCTGAAGAAGGAGGAGAGAGTGGTGGAATTTGGGCCCAAATCAAATACGAAGCCCTCCAAGACGCGGAGGCGGAGCCAGCATTGGCAAGTTATCTATACTCGACTGTGCTCGTCCACCCCACACTGGAAAGGTCCCTCGCATTTCATTTAGGGAACAAGCTCTCCTCTCCATTGCTCCTCCCGTCCTTGCTCTACGACCTCTTTCTCGGGGCGCTTTCTGCTTCTTCCACTCTCCGTGCTGCTGCCCGTGCTGATCTGAGGGCGGTGCGCCTCCGTGACCCGGCCTGCCGCTCCTTCAACCACTGTCTCTTGAATTATAAGGGTTTTTTAGCATGTCAGGCCCACAGGGCGGCCCACCGGCTGTGGTCGCAAGGTCGCCATTCACTGGCACTCGCCCTCTCCTCCCGCGTTTCCGAGGTATTTGCTGTAGACATCCATCCTGCCGCCCGCATTGGCCTGGCCATTTTGTTCGACCACGCGACTTCTGTTGTGATTGGGGAAACCGCTGTTGTGGGCGACCATGTGTCGATTTTGCACCATGTGACGCTTGGCGGGACGGGATTGGAGAAGGGGGAAAGGCACCCGAAGATTGGGGATGGGGTGTTGATAGGTGCAGGAGCGACGGTGTTGGGGAATGTGAGTGTGGGGGCGGGGGCAAAGATCGGGGCAGGGTCGGTAGTGTTGACGGATGTGCCTCCAAGGACAACTGCAGTCGGTAATCCGGCAAAGGTGGTGAGGGGGCGGGACGGGGCAGCATCGAGGCTCAATGATGTGCCGGGGGAGTCCATGGATCACACATCGTTTATATCAGATTGGTCAGATTATGTCATCTAGGAGAATTCTTCAATAGGTGCTGTCATTCTCTATCATTTCCTTGTGTTTTCTCTCTGTATGTCTCTCCCTCTCTCTTCTCTGCTGCTCTATGTGTCTCTTTTCCAAAACTCTTTCTCTTTCTCTTATTCCTCTCTCTGTGTACAATCTGCATGTGTTAGCTTTCCCCCTGACTCTTCTATGTTTCATGGGAACTTGGTAAAATCTGTGTAATTGTTTACTCAAATGGCTTTCGCTTGTAGTATAAAATCATCTTTGCATGGATAAACTTGGTTAATTAGATGCATAGAAATTCTGAGGCCTCAAAACTTATCGTCTATATTTTTTATTGGATTGAGGTTTCATTCTGTTCGATATTGTGCGAGATGGTTTAAGTGGAATGCCAAAAAAAAAAAAGGCAAGGGTAGGCCGAAAAGGACATGGCTATAGTTCAAGTAGAAGTTCAAGTGGAAGGCTCAAAAAAAAAAGGCAAGGGGTAGGCCAAAAAGGACATGGCTGGAAGTTGTGAGAAAGGATATGGGGACATATGGCCTCCCTGAGGGTATAGTCTTAAAAATCAGGATATAGGGACTTATGGCCTCCTTGAGGGTATGTATGACCCTTAATAGAGCAGGATGTGGGGATTTATGGCTGAGGTTATGATCCTTAATAGAGTAGAATGATGGACTAGGATTCGTGTTGCCGACCCAATTAATTGGGAAAAGATTATGATGTGTAGCCGACCCAATTAATTGGGAAAAGATTATGATGATAATAACTATTGAACATTGTGTAATTTGTTTCCTAAATGAAGTAAAGTAGGTTGGTTCTCTTGTTTACTTTTTAGTGTGAACTGATTTTATCTATGATGACGTGATACGTGGTTTGATTGTAGAAATATTGCATAGAATCTGCTCCTTATTGCTGTTGTTTCATTTGGGAAGAAGAGTGAAGGCTGATGGGTTTTTTCCCCTTTGCATTGTGGCTATAAGCATTGTGTCTTAAACTTTTAAGAACTGTATTCTCCCTTATTTTGGTCTAAATTGAATCACATCCATTGTAAATGAGGGTGTCCATAGGGTTGAGTTTGTCTCTCAACTGAACTCGCTTACATACTAGAAAGTATTAGTCTCTCTTTCTGTCACATAGATTTTTGCCGAAAGTGTGTGGCTTAATTTGGCTTATCCTGCGTTGTCTTGGTTCTCTGTGTCCCAACATCTGTTCATCATCACTATTAGTTTTGGAGATAGATGCTCCTTTTTCTTTTGCATAATTATTTCATATCATATCATGCACCATGGTATTGCAGTAACGATCAGTCAGTCTTTGTAGTTTTTATTTGATTGAATATAGTTCCCACAAAATATATAAATCCTTTCTCATGGTTGTTCTGCTCATGTCGTTACATTGCTCTATGAAACTCTCAAGACAAGATGACTAGTTAGTTTCTTTATTATTTAAAAAACGTTTGTATCGCTTTGTGGTTTGAATCCATTAGCCTTAGTGAAGTAAGCTATTTATCATTGTCTTTTTGCATTTTGTTTTGTTGGATTAATGCTTATGCATGATGGTTATGAAAACCACTTCACGTCAATTAAGCTTGTGAGTTGTGACTAGTGCCAAGAAGTAGAATGGCTTGTGTCTTATTTCTCACTGGTTCTGGATCACAGTTGTCCCCTTATGCACACAATAAAGGCATTTGTGCGTAGTTGCAAGGAAAACAAGTTCTTAGGTGAATGTCTTTGGTGATATTTTGGAGTTTTATTATTGTTAATTTCACCAGAAAAACATACATAGAAATGGTTGTGATCCATCACTACCATTGAGGCATTGCCAATGTGGGCTTTACTTGTATTTTGTCTATTAGAGATGTAACCATGTTCCACATTATCAGGCGGGCTTTTTGTTCAATGTGTAGAGTTTGATTATATTGAAGCAGTTCAAGCAATGGTAGAATTTTTGGGGTCTCGACAAGAATCCTTGGTCATATTATTGGCTAATCATTGTCCAGGATTTAGGAGAATATATTCTTTCTAACAAAAATTTCTAGAAGGAACTTCCAATATTAAATTCTCTATTTTCATAGGTTTTATAATTTATTCAATAGAATTTTGTGCATGTGTATGTATGTATTCATCATTATCTTCTTCTCATTGTAAAAATATGCTAATGTTTTGAAATTATGGAAGTAGTGAGAAGAGATATGGTGACTTGTGGTCTAACTGAGGGTATACTCTTGATAGAGCGGAATTATAGGACAAGATTCATATAGCCAACCCTAAGTAGTTGGTATAAGGCTTGCATGATGATAATGATGATGATTGAGTTTAATTGTTGGCACATTTTGTCCATGCACATTGGTGCTTAAGTAACATTGGATAGGTGTGCTAGAGGTGTATTGCTTGAGTTGAAGAAATTTAAAATAAAAAAAAATAAAAAAAATAAAAAAAAATCACATAAAAAAATAATTAAGAAATAAAAAAAAAAAATCATTATGAAATATAATCACATAAAACTCAGGATACATTTCTCCACTTCGCCCCCCAACTCAAATTCTATGTGCAACATCTTCCTCAATCTTTTTATTTTCTTGGATTATCCACTCTAAATATTGGAATCAGTCTCTTTTAAGTATTTCTTGACCATCAATCTTAATTGCTTCCTCGTTTTACTCCTATTATTACTAAACTTGCATTTCATATATTCTGTCTTAGTCCTGTTAATTTTTAACCTTTTAGATTCTAGAGCACCCCTCCAATGTTCTAAAATTTGATTGATGCTGCCTCTAGTCTCATCGATCAAAAATATGTCCTCCACGAAAAACATACACCATACTACCTCATCTTGTAGGTGCATGGTTAACTTGTCCATAACCAAAACAAAGAGATATGGGCTTATTGTTGACCCCTGATGTAAGTTCATTGTCACTGAGAATTCACTTCTCTCCACTAGTTGTTTTTACACTAGTTAGCGCTCCTTCGTACATATATATCACTATGTCAATGTAGCCTCTGGTGACTCTTTTCTTTTCCAACACCCGCCAAATTAAATCTATAGGTACCTTATTTTATGCTTTCTCCAAATCAATAAAGATAATGTGGATGTCTTTTCCCTTCGCCCTAAACTTTTCAATGAGTTGACTAAGTAAGAAAATGGCTTTGATAGTTGACATCCCTAGCATAAAACGAAATTGATTTTCTGATACATTTGTTTCATGCCTTAGTCGTTGTTTAACCATTCTCTCCCACAACTTCATAGTGTGGCTCACAATTTTGAATGTCTCCTTGTGAGGAAAGATGTGGTGACTTTTGATCTTAGTGAGGGTATGGTCCTTGATAGAGAAGATTGGAGGATCAAGATTCATGTAGCCAACCCCAAATCATTGGGGTAAGGCTTTGATGATGATGAATGATGGGAATCTTGTCACTAGTGGTCCAAATAAGTGTTTTAAAATTCGTCCATCAGACTCGGGACTTGCTGAGTTCATGGGTGGGCCCTGGGATTTTCGTTGAAAGACCTGGGACTCAGCTGGGTCCGGACTCAAGGCTGAGTATTTTGGCATCCTAACCAAGTTTTATGAAGGCAGTGAATATTTATTAGAATACTTGAGCTTTACAAGATATGACTCATTAGATTTGATTCAGGACGTGGTGATTCGACTCAACTTCAGACTCAGCTGAGTTTGGTTTTTATAAATAGTGGTCCAAATCATGGCACCTTGATCAGAATCTTGGATTACCAATGACTTTGGAGCCTATGACCCTCTTTTCCTGTATTATTGTAGGCAACATTGAAAATTTTGACTTAATGCTTTTGAGCCAAATCTTGTTGACTTGTGACCAAATCATTCTTTGTTTTTCTTACTTTAATTTGTAAAAAATTTAAATATATCTACATGGCCAATATAGATATTTGATATTTAAAATTAGTATATAATATAATAAATTTGCATTTTTATCAAAATGTATAACTTGTACATTAGTAATTGCACACCTACAGACATTCATACTTGAGTTTATGCAATCATTTATTATCTAGCAAATACTAATTCCTTCATCATGTGTACAGGCACATAAATTAGGATTGATTAGAACTTTAAGGCCAGGAAAGTTAAAATTAAGAGTTTTTAGGTCTGCCTTAGAGATATTTTGAATATTTTAGGCCTGTTTCGACATGCTAATAATCTTATCAAAGAAATGGTGCTGTTTACCAATATGGGTAATCCTGAAAACTGTATTTGTTTTTTGTGGGATAGCGGAATTACATGTTTTTGGTGGATTTACATATTTTGTGTTTTCCAGGCTGGGGGGTGTTTTGATGGTGTTCTCTAGGTAAGTATGAACCATAACATAGGTCGCCCCATGAAGAGTGGCAGACCAAGCTAGCACATTTCTCACACTTGAAGAGGTTGACAAAAGAAATGACACCATTCCTAGAATTTCATGTTCCAAATGGGGCCTTTGTTTATACATGAAACCACTTCACCCCATCCATTATTCTTAATTTTGTATAGAATAGACCATCCTGGTAAAGAATTGCACATGCAGTTGGCAGGAGGTCTTGCATAGTACGGAGTAAAATGATGACCTAATTCTTGTTGTCCCCACTGCCCAGGTATTGTAGCATTCATTATTCATTGTATGTTTAAGGTTCTGGAGGCAACCATAGCGTCAACCATGCAGTGTACAACAGACATCAGGCAGGGGTGATTGTTTCTCTCTTTTTCTCAAAAATTTGCCTTCCTTTAGTCGATCTCTAGCAAGGGTACAGTGTTTTTTCCTCTCATTGTTCGACAACCTATTGCTAGCAGTGAGAAACCCTTGTCACATGGCCAACTGCCTTGTTACTACCTGCTAACACATCTCACTCTGACTTATTAGGTTGTGCACTAAAATCCTGAGATGTGTGCCATGGGGGTAAGCTAACTTAAACTAATGCCTTATGGTTTACCCTAGTGAGGCCTAGAACAACTTCATGCATGCAGAATGACCATCTCTGCATTCACTTATGCACGGGTTTAATTCGATACTGTACCTGTCATGGTGGTGGAAATTTGTAACCCTCACCACAAGTCGAGGTGCTTAGGACACTAGCTTGCCTTCATTCAGATCCCACATTTAAAATATGTCATGATGGCCCTTGGCCATTACTGATCCCACATTTAAAATATGTCAAGATGGCCCTTGGCCATTACTGTTAATGGATTTTATGATGCCCCTTGGCCATCACTGTTAATGGATTTTATTATCTGTTATAATGTTTGCTAAAGGACCCAGAGATCACTTGCAAATAATGATGTTATTTGGATTTATATGTGGTGTATTATGTTTTCTTGAATCATGCTCAGTTTATATTTAGCCTACATTATATTTAAAATGGAAGAAATACAAAGTCAACTTTGGGAGAGCTTCAGGAAATTCTGAACCAGACATGCCTAATGGGATACGTGCAAACAAATGTCTAGTGGAGTATCTAT